TATTCAATTTTTTTGCGTTTTGATGGAAATTCCCATATGTTCATAGGCTCTGGCTTTTAAATGGCGTTTGGTTTTGCCAATACAGGAGGCCTTACAGTTTCCATACGTGTAAAGATAGATAAGCCAAGAACAATAAGGAATGGGGAGGAGATCTTTTGTAGGGAAGAAATTTTTTATGCGTGATGTGGATTTAAAAACTAATCTTAAATCCACTTGAAAGTAGTAACGACCAAGTATGCGTTTAAGTTGATTTTTTTAAATTTAAGCTTTGTTTGCCAGTATAAGGAAGACACGAGTATATAGTAAATTTAGGTACAGTTAGTATCTTAATTGGATTTGTGTGTTACTTTGTTAGGAAGGTGTTGGTAATGTTTTCTAATAAGTGTTCTAATAATGTGTTCTAATAAGTTACGTTTCAGGATGTCATGTAAGAACGAAATTTCAGAGTGTAGATTAAGATATGTGGAGCACAGGTTGTAAGCTTTGTTTAGTAAGCATGTAACAAGGTTTCGTTTATACGTAAACGGGATAAAGCTATCAAAGTGTGTAAGGAGACCAGTGGACGTCTTTTTTCGGTAAATTGATGTGGAAAATGCTAATGTTAAAATGTTAAGACTAAATGCATGTTTTAGTGTAAGTTTAATACATATAAGTTTTATTGTTTTAATATTTGTTATCTTTGGTGTCTCTTGTTGATTTTCTAGACTTCATTTTTAAGATGACATGTTGTAAGAAATAATTTTACTTTTTGTTGACATTTTACTCGAAGAACTTCACATTATTTTACACTTATAATTTTATTTCTCTAAAGCTTTTAAAAAACTGGGTGTCTTTTGAATTAGCTTAGCAGTTCTTTATATGACAAATAATTAGAATTATATAAAAACTTGGAATATTGTGAAACTTCTGGTTACCGTGAGAACTACGCAAGCTCACATTTCGGTGAATAATGTCTAATATGTATGGTTATTACATACCAGAAGCAGAGCTTCCTTTTCTGGATCTCATTTTGCACCATTAGTCGTAATGACAAAACTTAGCACGTGGGAAATGCGACATGCGTAACCCGACGAAACAGGTAGCTACACTACTTAACTGGGTCACGTGAGTGAGAATATGAATTAGCTTACTTTTTAATATGTTGCTTTCACTAATGGACCGTATCATATTTTCTACGGTTATATTTATAGAATCAAACTTGGAAGAAGAGAGAGATTTATATGGAAGATTGTAGAATAGTGCTAGTAATAATACATGGCTTCCAGTAAGTATTCATCCAACCATAAGAGCATGTGTACATATAATCAACTACATATTTTCTTTTTTTCTTTTGGAATTACTTTTTGACCTTACTGATGTGATTTTGGTCTTGGAACAGTGTTATGTGAAGAAAGTATTCTGTGATAACATGTATCGACAAAATAGTTGTTTTACTTCTTAAGCTTGATTGTTCAGAAACCGTACTTTTTATCAGTTATAATCGTCGCTTTTGACCAATAATAAAGTTCAGAATGATTTGATTTCTCTGCTGGATATTTTTTCCAATATCCTTGTAACAAAGCAATAAACAAATTCTTCGTGTTCGGTTTGTTAACGTTTCGTTCAGCACCTTAGAGTGTTATAGAAGCCCCAGTGGGAAATAAATGTAAAGAACAGAATGGTATTCTTATCACTTGGTGCTGTTTGTCTCAAAGTTATGAATAAGACTCTATTTTATCTACATTAATGACGTACATACTCTGTTTGATTACGAAATTTACACACAAAGAAGCGGCGAAACGCCTGCTTATCTGTGAGACAAGCTCCAGTGACTATTATAGAAAACAAATATTGAATCTTCTGGGGCCCGGGATGGTTACCATGGCAACAAAACTCTTGGGACCAGGGCTTGTTCCATAAGACTAGCGTCAAATGTCATCATTTCATCAGTTATGAATCAGAGCATATGATATCGATAGTAGTGGAATAGGGCAAACCCTAATGAAGCCTGTTATATTTTAGCTTGAAGTAAAAGTCTAAGCCTGTAACTCGATCCGTCAGTGTGATGAATTGCATCTTTTCCATTGGTCGCTAGTCTGAAACGTGACATTATAAGTCGGATAAAAACGTATGATTGCACCAAAAAGTAAGTTTTTCTTTTATTAGTCAATGCCGCAAAAAGTAAGATATTTTTGTTAGTAAAATGGTAATTTAAAAAAGAAGATATATCGTAGATCATGATTAGTGTTTCTATATATATATTTATTATTCTGACAGTCAAGTTTAAATTAAAACTACATGATGTCAATAATTTATTAAAGTTTTCTATTTTTGTCACTAACCTACTGGGATGTAAAATAGTTTGCTGCTAACGTATCAAATTGTTTCTATTTCTGAAGTTAAGGCAATGAGATGTGCAAAGTATTGTCAAGAAGGTTTTTAGGTGATTTTGTGTCTTTTGGTGACATACTTAAATTTGCAGGGCGTTCTTTGTTGAAAAATTAGCTTTCTATTTCTGTCAGTAAGATAATAAAATGTTCAGGCATTGATGGTGACGTACTGTTATGGACAAGATGGTGTTGGAACTTATCAAGGTAATAATTTCTGTCAATAAACCATTGTTATAAGCACGATATTTTTGCTAGCGTGTAAGTGTCATCCTATTTCTGAGAATTATTCGTTGTTAAGTTCATGATATTGTTGTTATGATCAAAGGATTGTACATAATTTGTTGTAATTTGCAGAATATTGCTGATATCACGTCAAATTATTTAACTTCTTTAAATAAGTAAGATATCAAGTTGTTGTTGTTTTCTGTCATTAATTTATTTTTGTGTACAGGCTTATCATTGATAGCAAATCAAAGTAGTTTTAATATGACATTTAGCTTTGGATATATATGTATATAGATTACTGGGCATAACACATAAAGATCGCCCCCCCAGTGGCACAGCGGTATGTCTGCGGACTTGCAACGCTAGAAACCGGGTTTCGATACCCGTGGTGGGCAGAGCACAGATAGCCCTTGTGTAGCTTTGTGCATAATTATAAACAAACAAACATAAAGATGTCTTTGTTTTTACTAATAATGCTTAGAAATGTCACTGAATAGTCACTTTGTCAGGAACTCCCAAACATTCACACATTTGTAGGACATTTCAAGTATTTACATATTCAAAATGGGCTGATAATGATGTGTCAGGTGACTGTTTTAGGCCTATAAGTGCAGATATGTTGTCACATCATAATTATACTGCAACATCATTGGTAAGAGCAATGATCTCTATGACTTTCAAAGAGGCATGATAGTAGGAGTTCATCTAATGGGGACGTCATTATCAAGGACTATTTTTTTTACTGGCTATTCAAAAACACCTTTTTTGAAATTCCACCTCACAGAGGCAATCAAAAGAGAACAGGCCGGTCATTAAGAAATGTGTCCACCAAGTGCTGTGGACTGTAAAGTGCAATAGATATATTACTGTGCTCCACAATCATGATCAATTTTTTCAGCAACGCTTAAGGTCCAACTTTTTTCAACCATATTATCCAAATAGAGTTGTAAAAACTGACAATTCGCAGTCGACAGCCATTATCAAAATTACTTATCTCAGACGGAAACAGGAAAGCATGGATTTAATGTTGCTTAGAACACAAACATAAATGACTAGAATCGTATGATGTGATCTGACGTGTCATAGAAGGGAAATATATGAAGAAATTCACATTAAACAATTGACTTTGTTAGTGTGAAAAACTAAGTACAAGTTCTTAAAAGTAATGTAATGGTGTAGGAAAATTTATTGTGGCAGGAAATACGTTTTTTAATGTTCCAGAACAATGAGTAACATCTAGAGTGTACCTAAAGGTTATCATTGATCATATCAACCCTCTTAATGCTGCTCTCCACTCTGATGGACAAGATATTTCAATTTCGTATTATTCGAAATTGGGCTAAAAGAGTTTGTTAGTTTGTTTTGAATTTCGCGCAAAGCTACACGAGGGCTATCTGCGCTAGCCGTCCCTAATTTAGCAGTGTAAGACTAGAGGGAAGGCAGCTAGTCATCACCACCCACCACCAACTCTTGGGCTACACTTTTTACCAACGAATAGTGGGTTTGACCGTCACATTATAACGCCCCCACGGCTGAAAGGGCGAACATGTTTGGTGGGACGGGAATTCGAACCCGCGACCCTCAGATTGCGAGTCGAGCGCCCTAACCACCTGGCCATGCCGGGCCATAGGCTAAAAGAGCATAACAGTAACTTAAGTCACCTCCCTTTGCCAGCACAATCACCAAATCTCAATCCGATTAATCATATTTGAGATGAACCTAAATATTACATTCACCACCAGAACTGTGAATAAATTGCAGTTCATATACTCCTCGACGAATGCATTATAATTGAACGAGACACATTCAAACAAAACGGACATGCAAAATATCACTAAGTAGTCCTTGTGCATGACTTTTGATATAGTCCTTCGGCTACAATGCTGTAATTCCACTTAGCCATCTCCATTATATGCATCACTTTTGCCAGCATAATCTCATTCCTTTGTCGGCTACATTAAGTACACGCTGTTTCTGGTGTGGTAAAAGGCTCTGGAATATCTTATATTGGCGCGTTTTTTCTCTCTTGCTTGTTTTTTTTTCTTTACATGTGACACCGTTTCTGGCATTGTTTATACCGTACTTTAAAACTATACAGTCTTTTGTTTCCTTCAAATATATTTTATTTTTAATGCATTCGAGCTTCATAAAATGATCCCAATAACGTAATTTGTGTGTATTGTACTATTTACAAATCTGAATTAAGTTCTCATCAGCGACTTATGTCAGGATTGTGTTCCTCCAGTTTCCTGTGTGTATTGTACTATTTACAAATCTGAATTAAGTTCTCATCAGCGACTTATGTCAGGATTGTGTTCCTCCAGTTTTCCTGTGTGTATTGTACTATTTACAAATCTGAATTAAGTTCTCATCAGCGACTTATGTCAGGATTGTGTTCCTCCAGTTTCCTGTGTGTATTGTACTATTTACAAATCTGAATTAAGTTCTCATCAGCGACTTATGTCAGGATTGTGTTCCTCCAGTTTCCCAGTACTACATAACTTCCTTCTTAGCATTCAAGAGCTCTTTCATCAACATTAGCACAGCGATAGTATGTTCACAGTAACTTGAGGGTCTTACACCTTCCAACGCTACCCATGAAGGGGGGGGGGGGGTTCACTAATAACATGGATGCTAACTCAGAACCACAGGTCACCCACATTGTTTTGCTACTAAATATTTGTGTGATGGCCTCAACACTTCACTAGCTGTCTCAACAATCAGGTGGCAAGAAGTACCATATTCGTGTATCCAATCCAATGGAGAACGATTCTATCGTCTCCAGGGACATGCAGGTTTGGTGCAGCCTGTTCTGGATGTAATTGTTACTGGAAACAAGGCCAATCCAAGCCCCTCATGTTACTGAATCTCTTTTGAATGGAGAAATGCACATACACTAGTATGTATAAAGCTACTTTTATGAATATATATATATATATCACCATTTCTACACACATTTTGCACATTTAAAGTTTCGGAACACAAACGAACGTCTTCGTGTGCATAACATCCTTTGCAATTATCGTTTCCGTACTACACGGAGGTTCATTCTAAATCAGGCCACGTCGTTTTTTCCCTATAGCTGCTGTGTTAAGAACAAATTTGGATCATATGACCATCAACATGGAGTATATAATAATTTTTCCTATTGTTTATGACAAATCAAATTTTCAAGAGTATCTAAATTCGTTAAAACTACATTTTTATCCCATTTTAATGTTCTGTAATCTGATGAGCCATTTTAGGCTCTTAATGACACCCATCCTTTCACTTCCTCTTTCTGTTTCCATTTAAATGTTTCACTGCCACCGTTTTCATTTCTTAGTTCCGCTTAAAACCATACTTTTTAAGGAGCAAACCTTTTTTCACAAACGTTCCAAAACCACAAGAAAAACAAAAATTGTTTTTAAATTAGTTTCAAACGTTCCAAAATGACAGGAAATAATATCATTCTTATGAAAAGATGCAGTCGCTTTCTGGCGGAATTTTTGGAGTTGCACAAATTCCTTCTTATCTTAATCTCTCTTCAATTTTGAAAAGTACACATTGAAGATATCATGGGAAACGTTCAATCTCAACTACACATTGGCAATAATGGGAGGATAATAAATTAATTATAAATCTATATATACTTTTCTGACTATTGAATTTTATTGTAAAATTTTACTTGAGAATATTTGAAATAACTTTTTGTAATTCATTTTATGTTTTGCTGGTGGTTTTTTTCTCTTTGACACATTTTATAATTACTAAAAACTCGGTGAATTACATAATAATACTTTTCTTCTGAAACATGAGCTATACATCTAACTGTGTGGAATTGGTAAAAATATCCCCAAGATTTCTGAAAATTGTATTCTTAGCAAATTAAGCAAAGCGATTCTAAGATTTTTCTTCTCTTATATTTTCAATCTTCTTGTTATTTGATTACACTAATAAGATGTAGTGATTTTTTGTCAGATCTGATACAATTGGTTGATTGTTTGAAGTTATGCACAAAGCTACACGATGGGCTATCTGTGGTCTGCCCACCACGGATATCGAAACCCGGTTTCTAGCGTTGTAAATCCGCAGACATACCGCTGTGTCACTGGAGGCAGATCTGACATAACCAATCATTTTCTTTTTTTTAATATTTCAAACTAAAAATGTTTCGTGTTTAGAACATAAATGGTCAAAGAGTCTTGTAAGAAGAAGTCATATGGACTTAAAAATCAATTAGTGTACATATTTGTTATTGACAAAAGTTACGAAGCTGAAGGACAACTTTCAAACAGAACTCAGAGACGTGGAAATGCGTCTTTATTTGAGATGCCACACAACATCAAGAAAGTGCAATTTGATGACTTTCAGTGATTTCAAAAACTTCTTGAATTCCGTTATTTATTATAATGAAAATCCGTGAACATTCTGCATTGATGCAAAATTACTAAAATCTGTTAACGAATATGTAAGCTAACTTCATTTTCTGTCTCTTGCACTTTTTCTAATATATTTACAAAGCGATTAGCATATTCAAGTTGCTAATATAATTTATATGTAATTTCATAAAATCTTTAATACATATAGTATTTTGTATATTCAATACATTATTTTCCGTAAGCATAAATGAAAAATATGTGTAATATTTAACTACATATATGTATGGAATATCTTACCAATAGCATTGCAATGTCTATTAACAAAACTTTCTTAATGTGCAATCCAATAGAAAAACCACTTCAGTTGAAGGCTTCATTAAACTTGATAATATATTCAGCTAGAAGTAAGCATTACAATAAAAGAAACTTCAGCACACAATTACAATTGTTTCTACTTTCAGATAAAGCTTAAATGTTAAAATTTTAAATTTTGTTTATAATGCTTTACATACAAAGAAAAAATGTATAACATGGTTTGGAACGTTGCAGTTCTTTGACGCGCCTGTTTCTACTACACAGATCAATTATTTGTTTTTTATCATTCTCTGAAAGAATTATTAAAGTATTACGTAAAAGTGTATAAGTATCCATTTTTATATGGCTTCGTAACGTATTCTTTTAAGAACACTATTCTACTAATTAATCTCTTAACTCAAAAAATATATCTTAATCCAAAGTATGCATTAATGATTGACAAAGAAATCCAGCTAAGATTTTTTTTTCTCCAGAGACCTCATGAACTCGCCAGAACATGTGCACGTTTATGTAAAGTAAAACACAACCTCCAGGGCCGGCATGGCCAGGTGGTTAGGGCGCTCGACTCGCCGTCTGCGTGTCGCGGGTTCGAATTCCCATCACACCAAACATGTTCGCTCTTTCAGCCGTGGCGGCGTTATAATGTGACGGTCAATCCCACTTTT